TTGAAAGAGGAGTGGTAAATTGATTCAGTAAAAATAAGGCAGAATAGATTTAGAATATTCTATTCTCAAAAATGCATCTCAGGACAGATGAATGTATAATAAGATTGCATATAATTAAAATCAATCTTAAGACTTTAACTAAAGAATCTCTCAATATTCTTCTTTAATAATTTATATTCAACTTTGGGTCATCCAGTTTGTTTCCCATAAGCCTACATTCTTTGCTAAAATGGTCACTGAAGCCAGGCACAGTGGCACACACTGGTAATCCCAGCAACTTGAGAGTCTGTGGCAGGGGAGTCACAAATTTGAGGCCAGCCTTGGCAATTTAGTGAGAACCTATGTTAAAATACAAATAAAAAAGGTCTGGAGACAGCTCAGTGTTAGTATGCCCCTGTGTTCAACCCCAGTACTGCAAAAATAAATAAATAAATGAGTCATGGAAGTCCACAGCAACACTGTTCCTGGGTGAAGGCAGGCACAGGAATGACAACAGATATCTAGATTTCTAGTCTCTAGAATTCAATTAGGGAGTTAGCAAGGGGTGCATATGTTCCATAGTCAATCAGCCCATCATTGCAGTAATGCACTTGCTATTGTCAATTTTTTGAGACCTTCTCTGGGTAAAGAGATGGGTAAATAAAAAAAGAAAGAAAGAAATCCTCTGGTTTATGTTGTAAGCATTTTAAGTCTCCAGAATGAAAAAAAAAAAAAAGTATAACCCTGTCCTTTCTGGGTAGTGATGACTTTGATGTGGTTTTCTATTCCTAGCTCTAAAGAAAAAGGATATCTTTGAGTTATAAGATATCTACCAGTGGTTGCTGGCAAAGAAGGTGAAAACCTTAGAACTGCTTCCTTGTGAGATACTTATTTTTAAAATATATCACTTTACCTCACAGAAATCAKCCTTGTGACTTAGGACAAGAAATAACAAAATACAAAGAATTCCAAGACCACAGATTACATTTTTACTTAAAAATTGAAAAATATTTGTTTATATTTTTGTCATTGTTTTATTTTTTATTTTTTAAAAACATTTTTTAAGAGAGAGATGAGAGAGAGAGAGAGAGAGAATTTTTTAATATTTATTTATTTTAATTCTCAGCGGACACAACATCTTTGTTTATATGTGGTGCTGAAGATCGAACCCAGGCCGCACGCATGCCAGGCGAGCGCGCTACCGCTTGAGCCACATCCCCAGCCCCCTGTCATTTGTTTTATGTGATCTATAACATACTGTTTGAAGAAGGGTGACAAATTGGGATGAAAGGAAACAGTCACATAAGGCTTGAACTGATGCAGAACATAAATAACAACATTTTTAATTGTAAATAGCAACACTAAATCACTGTGATTGAAAGATGATTATATGTATGTTACTTTTTTCTGTTTGATATCTTCCCTTTATATACCTTCCTCAGTGAGTATTTTACTCAGCTTTTTCACTGCTGTAACAAAAAGACCTGAYWAGAACAATTTTAGCAGAGAAAAGTTTACTTGGCACTCACAGTTTCAGAGTTCTCGGTCCACAGATGGCCTACTCCATCGCTCTGAGCTGGAGGTGAGGCAGAACATCATGGGAGAAGAGTGGTGGAGGAAGGCTCAGAACATGGCACCAGAAAGCACAGAGTTCTCTCACCATGGACAAAATATAGACCCCAAAGTTGTGCATCAATGACCCACCCACTCCAGCCATACCCTACCTGCCTACAATTAACACCCAGTTAATCCCTAAGAGGGGATTAATGCACTGATTAGGTTAAAACTCTCATAACCCAATTATTTCACCTCTAAATTTTCTTGCACTCTCTCACACATGAGATTTTAGGGAATTCCTCATATCTAAATCATTACAGTGGTGTCACTTTTTTAAAAAACAAATTCTCACTCAGTTGCTAAGGCTGGCCTCGAACTTGTGATCCTCCTGCCTCAGTCTCCCAAATTGCTGGGATTACAGGGATGAGCCACTGCACCCAGTTCAATGAGTCACTTCTGCATAGACCTTTGAAATCCTTCAGCCTTTCCAGCAGCCCCCATGCTGTATCAGTCTGTTCCCAGTACCTTGCACAATACCATGAAATCACACAGCTTGCAACAATCATTTGTCAATCTATTAGGTATTAGTTTGCTGGTTGTCTTTCCACATTTACTTAATAGCTGAACATCTAGATGTGTGATAAACAACATTGCAATTCTGTATTCAAGTACTTCTTATGCTTTATTTAGTATCATTTTTATGATTACTTCTCTGCCCTTACCTGCTTATTTGTATAATGTTCGAACTAATGAAATAAGTGCAGAATAAGTAGCTACCAGTTCAGTTTATTTTGAGAATTATGATGGCATGCACAGAAACACAACTCAGCGTTTATTTGTTTATTCAGCAAATATTTTCTTGATCTTACCGAGTGCAATCATCATGCAAAGTGATAAGAATGCAAAGATGAACAAAGCAGGTGGAGTTTCTGCCCTCATGGAGCTTTCAGACAAGAACATAGATGGTTGCAGTGTCAGAATACAAGCTCAGGGTTCTGGTAGTGCACATCAAATGGCTCCTAATCAGACAGAATTAGGTCAATTGCATGTGGCAGAAATGCAAATAGCAGTAGTTTAAAGTAAACAGAAAATTTTCTCCAAAATGAATATCTGGAGGTAGACAGACTACAACTCCACAATGTCAAGGACTACTTCTGTCTTGTTACTATGCTATTTGTGGCCTCAATTCCCAAAGTCACCTTGTCCAAGATGGCTATTTCAACTCCATTTCCCCATTCCACAATAGGAAGGAGGGGAAATAATGACAGGAACAATTTCTCTGCCATTGAAAGACTTCTAGATGTTGCTCAAGCCACTTTTACTTACATCCCATTAGCCAGAACTTAGTCACATGGCAATGTCCAGCAGCAGGGAAAACTGGGAAATGCATTATTTATTCTAGGTAGCCAGAAAAAAAGAGGGGATGAATACGAGAGGATAACTAATCATCTCTGCCCCAGGATTTCTGGGAAAATGGTTGCCAAAATTGAGATTTGAAGATGAGTAGAATTCTCAGAAGAAGTATGTGTGTGTGTGTGTGTGTGTGTGTGTGTGTGTGTGTGTGTGTGTATGTATGTATGTGTGTCCTTATAGGAGTAAAACATTCTAGAAACAAAGAAAAATCCCAAGAAATTGAATACTGAGAAGCTGTTCTTTTGTCAACTAATCGTTGCATGACAGTGTTTGTACTTTTATTAGGAAAAGAGGTATAGCTCAGCTTTTATCAGAGGAAAGAGGGTGGAACTAATGTTCAGTGTAGGTTTGGGTTGAATGGGCCAGGACAGCCTCTCAGAAAAGATGGAAAGTGGGAGAAGCATTAAAAACAAGCTAATGTTAATCCTTTCCCAGCAATATTGGCCCCCGTGAAGGCATGTACTTAGGCAGAAGGGAACATTCATTCAGTAATATCCTAACTTACAAGTTCAGAGGCTAGCCCATAGTATGCCTTCCTGTGCCCATAGTAGTCACGTTCCCAGCTTCATTGGAACCATACAGAATTGTTATGCTCACTAAAGTGCCACAAATCTGTAGAAACACCAAAAACATTTATGATATATTAAGTTTACAACATCAGTATACTTTTGGGTTTCCTTAAGTTTTATGTCCAGCTTTATAAAATTAGTCTTTCTCCTACTTTAAACAAATCAAGTAGCAAGTCTATTTTGCTTGTTAATTGTGATAAAGCAGCAGTTGCCTCAAATGAAAATAGCAATGAAAGATTTTAACTTCCTGATATACAGTATGATTCTTTTTATGTTTTTCAAATTATTTTCATACTGTAGCTTGCTTAAGTTTTTATTGTTTTTATCCATAAAATGAGTAGAAGGTTTATATAGTTTAGCCCATTAAAAAGTAAACTTCACTTGTAGATATTTTATTTTTAAAAATTTTTTAAATATGCTTTTTAGTTGTAGTTGGATGCAATAACTTTATTTTATTTATTCATTTTTATGTGGTGCTGAGGATTGAACCCAGCAACTTGCATATGCTAGGTGAGCGCACTATTGCTGAGCCACAACCCCAGCATGCTATTTTATCTCTTAAGTGTCTATTATTCTGGTTTTATATTGAATGTAAAATTTAAAAAAGGTCTATTAGAAAAGCACTGATATAAATCTATAATTATTTAAGTTTCTTGTGCATTTTTCACAACCCTCCTCAAGTTACTATGAAGTTCTAATGTTCCCCCTTCCCAGGAAAAGTGGTTTTATAGTTGATGATTGGCAATATAATTTTTATATTATGCATGAGTGAGAAGATTAAATCATTTTATTTTGTGTTTATCTGAGACTGATGAATTTAAATTTAAATACCAGCTTGGTGAGAGCAAATTTTCTAGGTCTTGAACTAGCAATTAATTAATGTGTCTTAAACTACCAATTAGGATAGATTGTTAAATGGAACTGGATATTTGAGTCATCTTCTTTCTTATGTTAGACTTTCAATTTGATGAAAAAAGAGAAATTATTAAAATCTATTCCCTAACACATTATTTAGGCTGTGATTTCATACTAGGTAATACAATTTTGCCAAGAAGTACATAGTATGATTCAGTTTCTTGAGGCCACTTCTAGCCTATGGTAACAGTTCATCTGATTCCATTTTAATGTTTATTTCTCTAAATAATAGATGTTCCCAGTCTTTATCAATTGAGCTGGATTGAGATTGCAATAATACATGCTTACATGATTGGAATACAGGCTGATTCCTGTTTCATTTTTCCCCATTAGCCCTACTAAGCTACAGAGCACTTTTAAGAAAATACTCAAAAATTCTACTCCTATTGAAATAAAATCATGTTAAGCTTTTGTCTTTTGTAACTAGTCTACTTCTATTGGTTGTCAGGTCCAAAGTTCCAAATTCTTTATTTGGATCTTCAACTTTGAGAAATTAATAGGGTCAAGGAATAAGAACCAGTGTTTACATAAGTGTTTATTGGACTATCCTTTATCATCTTTCAGGTCTTGTAGAAATTTGCCTGATGCACCCCCTGGATGTGGTGAAAACCAGGTAAGTTTCTGCATGAACAAGTTTTATTGACTTTGGCTGATATCCAAATTAAAATCTGTCAGAGTTCTAAATGCTAGAACTTGTCCCAGGCTGGTAGCTTCTCCCTATAATGGCATTTGTTTTTGCTTTTTAAAGAAAGTACTATTTGACAGATAAAATGTGAACAGTGAAAAGAATTTCTGGATAGAGGTCATCTGAAGGTATATAATATTTTATTGCCTTCACTTGACAACCTTAAGTTATGATTTGTGGCCATATTGGTAAATGAGGAAAATTTATCAAAATGATGTAAAAATTCAACTTTATCCAGTGAATTATGATAGCATTTTCATTTGACATTTCATATAACATATTGCTATTTAATAGTAAGCATTTGGTGTGAGACTCCAAAATTTCAAGTAAGCTTCTTAAATGGTGCCTAAAGAATTTATTCCTATAACTCTTTACCAATTCAAAATACCATGTTTCTAGGGAAATGAATTTGCTCTTGAAGGGAGATAAAAATCAGGGCAAAGTATTATATCTATCTACCAAGAGCAAAAACAAACAAACAAAAAACAAAACAAAAATAACAAAATCTTATAAGGTTTAATATGATCCTAAAGTATTTTTAAAAAGTTTATCCTGTGGTTGAATTATGGAACTCCCTATTGCCATTAGAAGTTGTTAGAGTTTAATGAAAGTCTCCATTTATTGGTTGAAGCCTAAGAGTGCTATCCAACAATGGTAGTTGATCAAATCATTACTGTCTCAGGAAATACTTAATAAGTCAGAGTAGTCACTGTATGGTCATGTTACTTTATCTACAGAATCTGGAGAATCTTAGACTGGTTTCTGGAAAAGTGTAATAATATTAATATTAATAATTTAAAGTGTAAATAATATTACATTTCTCATTGAAAAAGAGAAAATGAGAATTTGGCGTCTGACTTAGCTGCTGTAACAAAAAACATGGCTGGGTGACTTAAATAACTGATGAGTATTTCTCATAGTTTTGGAAGTTGGAGAGTCTAAAATCAAGGTCAGAGAAGCTCATTTCTTTGTGAGGGCCCTCTCCTTGGTTTGCAGACAGCCTTCTTCTCACTGTATCCTCACTTGGCCATGACAGAAAGCTCTGCTGTCTCTTCCTTTTCTTATAAAGTCACTATTTCCATGATGGATGTTTCGCCCTCATGACTTCTAAACCTAATCACTTCCCAAAAGTTCACTTCCAAATACCATCACACTGGGGATTTGAGTTTCAGCATACAGATTTTGTAAGGATACAAAATTCAGTCGGAAACAGCTTCAAGTCATTAAACCAAAACAGATAAAGAAGAAAAATCACAAATTTCATTCAAATTCAAGGACCCTGGATCATCTTTTGTTATAGGTTTCAGAAACAGAAGCAATACTCATGCTAAGAATCTGTGTTCACTTTCTTTAAAAAACCATAATATTGTTTCTAGTCTTACTCAGGAATAAATTCTTACTCATTTAAGGGTGACTCTCTAAATTAGTTTTCAAATGGGTATATAGAGATATAAGAATGATTTAAACAAGATGTGATATTGAAATTATGATCATTCACTCATTTCCCCCCAATTCTTCATTCATTCACTCAACAAATATGTTTTTGAGCACCTAGCATGTGGGTTCCAGACTAGCTATGCCTCAAAGAGCTCAAATTGTGAGCTCTTTGAGGCATAGGAACCTCATGACCATGAACTTTCAAAACTGTTTCATTTTGCTGGACTAGAATTGAATTGCTTACTTCTTGAAATAGATGTGCCAAATAACTGGAGGTTTATATATTCAYTGTTATATAAATATTTTCATGAAAATGGCATTCATTAATTGTAATTAGCACATGCCCTTGCCTAACTTCAAGGGGAAAGAATAATACAACCCTTCCAGGTACCCTGAAGATGATAACTGGATACTAGATGGTACTTGACCTGCACAGCAATAAAAAGTGTATTGAATAAAGACCCCAACCATAGAGAAAACTGGAAACCCAGAGTATTTGCAACTAACTATGCAATGGAAGATTGATGGAAAGATCAATGGGATTTACCAATTAGGCAATTGATATAATGGTGATAGTGATTGGACAGGAGCAGACTAAAGTATTGGAATCTCTTTACTCTTACGTTCTACAGGAGATGACTAGATTTTTAAATGGGGATAAATTCATGCCAAAGAATGCAATTGATCATTTGCAGAATGGAAAAAAAAAACAACCTTTGAGAAAAGATTTTGAAAATAAATTTTTAGAATCTATTGTTTTTCATTCAGCAAAGAAAAGGATTAGGCACAAAAAGAACCCAAAAAGTAAAGACTAGACTCCCAAGAAATAAACACATTCATTTTGCTATATCCAACACATGAGATATTGTAGAAATGAGCTATACCATACTTGGATTAATTCAGTGTACTACTGTTCAAGTAATAATATCCAAGGAGAGGGAAAACAGTTATTAAAAAGTTATGAGGTTTGTTTGATCTGATGATCCCATGCCCTACTTTTTATTGTTGTTGCTGCTGTTGCTGTTGAGACCAGGTCTTGCTATGTTGCCCAGGCTGGGCTTATACTCTCAATACTCTCACCATAGTCTTTTGAGTAGCTAGAATTATAAGTGTGTGCCACCATGCCCCTCTTCCATGCCACACTCTGACAATGCCTACAGCAACTTAGAATCCAGTGTTCTTGGAATACCATGCACTTAAAAAAAAACCTACTAAAATTACTAATGCTGTTATTTCTTACATTCTCATTTACAACTTATTTATTCATTTTTACTTTTATCACAATAGTAAGCATTCATTGTATAAAATTCAAATATTAACCCCAAGCCTTGTGTTCAACAAGATAGACTAGGTTATGCTGCTATAACATCAGTAACAAGCCACAAATCTCAATAGATTACAAGGATTGGGGGAGGGGGTCATTCCCACTTCAGTTTAATATGAGTAGGTATCTTAGTCCATTCAGGCTGTGACAACAAAACACCATTATGGGTGGCTAATAAACAACAGAAATTTATTTCTCACAATTATGGAGTCCAGAAAGTGAAAGATCAAGGCATTTGCCTTGATTTGGTGCTGGTGAGGGTCCATTTCCTGGCACATAGTCAGCCCCTTCTCACTATATAGTAACATGGTGGACAGGGCAAAGTAGCATTCAGAATCTCTTTTATAAGAGTATTAGTCCTGTTCAAAACCTAATCATCTCCCAGATGCTTCACCTCCTAAATCTATTACCTTAGGGTTTAGTATTTTCATATATGGACTTTAGGGACCATAGCAATGGGAGACTATGCTCACTGAAGTCATTCAGGTTGACAGAAACTCTGTTTTCATACATGCTTTCACCATCCCTGTAGCATAAAGAATAGAGCTGATGGTCTCATGCTGGCAAGTATAGATCTGACCAAAAGTGTCATTTTCTCTCAAACCTGTTGTTAAAAACTAGTCTCTTGGCCAGTCAACCAGAAGAAGTATGATCCTCTTCTCTGATCTGAAGGAGGGTATCTAGGTGTCAGTATGCCATAGGCATGCCTGTTCCAAGCCTTAGAAGCATAAATGTTATTTCCTTAAACCCATCAGTTTCCATTCCAGAGGTAAGAATCCTTGACTTTTAGCTGTTTCATTAGAATTCATTTCCATATTTCTAACTATTATGCTTATACTGATTGTATTGAATTGAATAATGCTCTCTGCCCCAAATCATGTCCTTCTCAGAACCTCAAAAAGTGACTTTATTTGGTGTAGATGATATTCATTGAGATGCAATTATACTAAAATAGGTGGGCCCTAAATCCAGTATGACTTGTGTCCTTATAAGAAGAGACGGAAACAGATGTGGAGGAAAGACAGCCACATGACACTAAAAGTAGGAATTGGAATTATGCAGCTAAAAGCCACTGTACACCAAGGATTCTGGCAACCACCAGAAGCTAGAAGAGAGGAATGGAATAGATTAGGAAACTAATATAGCACTAATATGAATAAAATGTGTAGTTATTCATGGCATTTATAATTATACCTAGCCCCTATTTCCCTTCCCTTCATCAGTAATGAACTGTTTAATTATTTTGACTATGCAAACATTGCCCTCTGCGGTACCAAGTGACACTTAATGCTTTATTTTCCTGGAGTTCATTATTGCCTCATTTTTATTCTTTTATTTTCGTAAGACTATTGCTAGTTGCTATTTTTTTCACAAATGCTTCTACAGTTTCCTTTTCACTACTGTTTTCCGTACTGTCAAACTAATAGCAAATGACATGGTAGGGCTTGTTGAAGGTGGTTGTTCCCCCGCCCCCACCACAATGATCTGGTTAGTTTGTTAGAAACTTCCTCTTCCATTTCCAATGTCAATAGTTGAGGACACTTTTTTTTTTCCAGTGAGGAATCTTTTACTCCAAGTCATGTGTGGCAGAGAATAAAAAAAAAAATCCACATCATTACAACGTATTTTAGTCAGCTTTTTCTCTGCTGTGACTAAAAGGACCCAATCAAAACAACTGTAGAGGAGGCAAAGTTTATTTGGGGCTCATGATTTCAGAGTTCTCAATCCATAGACAGCAGACTCCATTCCTCAGGGCTCGAGGTGAGGTTGGATGTTATGGCAGAAGAGTGTGGCAAAGGGAAGCAGCTCACATAGTAATAAGAAGCAGAAAGAAAGACTTCACTCACCAAATATAAAATATATACTCAAAGCTACACCCCAATACCCTACCGGCCTCCAGTTACCACTCAATTAATCCCATCAGGTGATTAATCCACTGATTGGGTTAAGCCTCTCTTGACCCAATCATGTCTTCTCTGAACCTTCTTGCATTGTCTCAGATGTGAGCTTTTGGGCGAAACCTCACATCCAAACTATAACACTATGTTTCTAGCAAGGAGCCACTCTCCTGTCTTTTGCTATCCCTAGTCTGAGGTTGTGCTGATTCAGCCTCCAAAGAATAAGCTTCAGGTTCCTACCTGGGAGGTGGATAAGGACAACATGTGTG